TTAGAGTATTTTATAATGTCTTGTTATTTAAAAAAGAAAACTTTCAGTTATATTCCCAGTTTATTTATTTTGGAAGTACTGGGCTTTGAACTCAGGGCCTCAGGCTTGCTAGGCCGGCACTATACCGCTTGAGCCACACCCCCAGCCCTCTTTGCTTTAGGTTTTCACCTTTACTAAGGCTGGCCTCAGATTGCATCGTCTTACCTATGACCTCCCCACACAACACTTGGCCCAGCTTGTTTTGTTGAGATGGGATCTCACTGACTTTTTGCCTAGGCCATCATGGAATCAGGAACCTCCTGATCTTGATCTCTGCCTCCCAGGTAGCTGGGATTACAGGCATGCGTTATAAAAGAAACTAAACCAGGATTCAAATTAAAGATATAACTGCCAAGTGTTTCATAAAGAATGTTTTGTTTGACAATGAAAATACCAACTTTCCTCCAAAAACTTAAACACAGACACAACTGACTAAAAAACCTCCTTATTATACTTAGCAATCTGTGGTACAGAATTGGTAGAATTGACAATCAGTTGGTATGGCTGCATATGCCCACAGTCTTAGGCATTTGGGAGGCTGAGGCATGAGGATCACCTGAGTCCAGAAGTTAAGAGGCCTGTCTGGGCCAGCTCAGAAAAACGAATGAACAAAGTAATCATTAAATTCTAAAATTAAATTTATAGCAATAAAATTTGTAACCCAGTTTAATTTTATCCTTTATGTATTTCACTATGTTATGTACCTGTCAGACTTGTACAAACTCATAGAAGTCTAAATAGACAACTCTGGTTTCAAAACTCTAGCTTGGGGTTCTACGTGGTGGTGCACATCTGTACTCTCAGCACTCCAGAGGTTGTGGGACTAGGATCTTAAGTTCAAGGCCAGCCTGAGCTAAATAGTGATAACCTGTCACAAAAAATAAATAAAATAATTCTGCTTCTCATATCAGACATACTAGTAGTATCTGAGTTCTAATTTCAGAACACTTCCATCTTTTGGTTTGTCCTGTGGAGTAGTTGTATTTTCTCAGAACTTTGACCTGTCTACATTCTACTAAAAATGGAAGCTATTTCTAATATGCAATTTCATCCATTTAGAAATCTAGAAATAGCTGGGCACTGTGGCGCACACCTATAATTCTGACTACTCAGAAGGCTGAGGCAGGAGAATCTCAAGTCTGAGACCAATGTGGACAACAAAGCAAGATCCTGCCTGGGGGCGGGGGAGTCTAGGACAAGCACCTAGCTACTTGAGCAGCTGAGATCGGGAGGATCAGCTTCCAGGCTTGTGGGGGAGTAAGACCCTACCTCCAAACTAACCAGAGCAAAATGGACTGAAGTATGATTCAAGCAGTAAAGTTAACTGCTTTGCAAGCATGAAGTCCCAAGTTCAAATCCCAGACCCACCAAAAAGTCTAGAAAAATAAACTTGCACACAAAGCATGCAACATAAATCTTTTAAACAAAATCCTAAGGCTTCTACATGTATAAGTGAAATCTTGTTTTCTCTGACCTGAATGAATACGTTTTCTTGATGAACTGACTCCTGTGTCAAATAATCATCTTAGTATATTATCATGTATACACTTAACTTTAAAACAAATCATTCAGATCTTTATCCTGATTGGTACACAGGATTTTCCAAAATAAAGTCAGAAAAATAATAGACTTTGGGTATGGCAACGAGAGGCTTCTTTTCAGAGGAGGAAAGAGGGCAAGCTACGTTCAGGACTAAGTGATAAAAAGCCATCACTCCTGTTTCTCCACATGAAAAATCATGGCATACACAAGATCCCAAGGCCTTGTCGATTCTATGTCTGAAGGACCTCCAGAATTCCAGTGGAAGCTGACTAACCTAACACCCCTCCCTTGCCAAACCATCCTTGAATACTGAGAATACAGTACGTTAAAAAGAAACACTGCAAGCCAGTTCTATGGGAATACTTATTCTTATAGGCCTGTTTCTAATGAAGGGGGCTTGTTCCAATGTCTTCTGACACCAGTCTATTCAGCCACCTAAAATACTTCCTGAAATACCATGAAGTATCTATATGGCCACGATTGACTCAACTGTCAGTTTCCTAACTAACTGGCAAACTAATACTAAAGGAAACTGACAAGGATTGCTTTCTATAGGGTTTATTACTGGGGTTTGAATTCAGGGTCTGACACTTGCTAGACAGGTGCTCTGCCACTTTAACCACTCCAACAGCCTAAAAATTGCTTTTTAAAATCCCACTTTTTCAAAATCCCAAATCAAGGAAAACAGAACACCCCCTCCAAAAAAAAATCAGAGAACTAATGATACAGAAAAGACAAAGATTTGTTTAAAAAGTCAAAATGATTCAGATGAAACATAAAGTAAGCCCCCATTTAAACAAGTGGGAAAATCAATCTCCATTCTGTCAGTTAACCGGAGTTCTCACCTTTTGGAATAAAAGGGACTTATAAAAATTATGACTTAGCAAGCATTTGAGATTTTGCATTGGTTATTTAACAAGTCAACTCTGGTGACCTTGCTAATAAATTAAGTTACATTATGGGGTATGTCCATACTTCTCAGTTCCCTTTTCAACAGGAGAAAATCAAGTATTTCCAACTTCCTAAACTGTTACTCCATGTAACCAAGTGCACCTCAGAGTACCACCTACCTGGGCATTAACTCCTGAGACTTTGTTAGAAAGCACAACTCCAAAGAAAGCTTACATGTACCTCTCCTACCCTCTTTTCCACGTACTCTCTCACAGCCAAGAAATAAAGCACTTGAAAGAAACAAGGATATTTATAAATAATCTATGCACATAGTCTTCACTATATAAGCCATTTTGCTTCCTATCTGTCATCAATGAAGTCAGGTGCCCCCAACATGTGGCTGCAACTCTTACTACTCCTTTTATTTAGAACTATAAGCTACACTTTATTTCCCAAAAGCTCTAGAACTATTTAGGAAGGACATTTTAGCCCACTAAAGGATTACTAAATTTTCTTAAATATACTGATCACAATACTGAAAACCAAGTCCATAGTTATAGAAGAGCTATCAAAGGTCAAACTTAAGTTCATTTATGATTTAACACAGTAGCTGCCTAAAATCAACCTCACTTTTTCCAATAAAAGTGAAAACAAGTAAGTATGTCAATTACAGATAATATTAGTCAACTGGCCCAGCGCCTATGGCTCACACCTGTAATTCTAGCTACTCAGAAGGCACAGATCTGGAGAATCGCAGTTTGAAGCAAGCACAGAACAAATAAATCTTGAGCACCTATCTCAAAAATACCAGAGAAGCTGTGAGCCAGAGGCTCATCCTTGTAATCCTAGCTACTCAGAAGGCAGAGATCAGGAGGATCAGGGTTCAAAGCCAGCCCAGGGGCAAACAGTTTGAGAGACCCCATGGGGGAGCGGGGTTGTCACAAAAAGGAGCTGTCGGAGTAGCTCAAGCGGTTAAGAGCACCTGCCCAGCAAGCATGAGGCCCTGAGTTCAAACCCATACTGCCAAAAAAAAAAACCAACACAAACCACAAAGCCCTGAATTCAATCCTCAGTCCCACCAAAAAAACAAAAAGAGGGCAGGCAGAATGCCTCAAGTGGTAGAGCGCCTGCCAGCCCAGCAAGCATGAGGCCCTGACCTGAGTTCAAACCCCAGTACCGCCAAAAAAAAAAAAAAAAAAAAGTCAAGTGATCTACTTAAAGCACTCACAAACCCTGTACAGGGCAGGTCAAAGGTATGTTTTTCAAACAATTTTTTAAAGTTACTTAACATCAATTCTAGACTCAGGCACTCACTTTTAAAATCACCTAGTTACAAACATCAGTTCTTAATAGACCCAGCATTTAGGAAGGCATGCTAAACAGAAGAGGTGCACCACATATTACTCAAAGATTATTCCGATTTTTCCCCCAATTCTTAAAATGTCACATCTAAGATCTCACAATCAAAACTTCACTTCCAAGCACTGCTAAAGGCATCCCAACAACATGTGTGTTTTGAATTTCTTTGGCTAGTTTCTGGACAACTATAATGTAAGTATGCTCCAAAGTATGCCCGGTTTATCATGAATCAACTAACCCTAAAATAAATGTGTATACACTAGGGGGAGGGGCTTCTTAAGCGCTTAGTTAAATCCCAAATATCGTGTGAACCATACAAGCCTTTACTCAGTAAGAAAAAACACATCAATCCTGCAGTAAGCACAATTGCTGCATGATTAATCAGAAAGAACACTCTATTTTAAAAGAACTCAGCGCATTCAAATCCACCTCGGTCCCGCAGCCGCCTGGATCAAACCCTCTGCTCCTGGGAGTGCCCAAGGAGTTCAGCCAAGTGTCCAGGTGAACTGCTCTTCGCCAGATAACTAACCGCCCTGCACTGCGGGCGAGGGGGGTGACACTATTTCCCAGGGCCACAGCGGGTCGAGCCCATTACCAGCCACACAACTTCATCTCACGCCCAACTCATGCTCCTGCCTCAGGTCCAGAGAAAGGCCTTAGTCGTAGTCCTGGGGTTTTAAAAATATGCATACGAACACGTGGGAGCACAGAAAGGGTCACAGTTAAGGTCTTTCACGTGGGGGGCTGGAAGGGCGCGGGACCGAGGAAATGAAAGTGTAACCGGGAAGATGCGGGACGCTCAGGATACCCCCAACTTGGGGAAGGGAGGTGGGACTGGAACTTGTCCCCCACCGCCACCGCGACCACCGTGGGGCCTCCTCCTCCTCCTCCAGCCAGCCTCCAGGACCCAAGCCCGAACCCGCACCTCCGCAGGCGCCCGGGGACCCGGCTGCAGCCCGGAGCTCAAATGCAGGGAGGGGGAAGCACCGAGGCCTCGCCGCCCCGCGGCCTTCCTCCCCGGCCGACCCGGAGGAGACCCAGGAAGCCGCGCCCGGTTCCCGGGGGTGGAGGGCCTAGGCCGCGCCTCCCCGCCCCGCGGCCCTTTAGGCCTCGGCCAGCCCCGGGCGGGGCCGGGAGGTCGGGGCGGCGGGCGGGCCGCGCTCACCCACCTGGGTTGCCAGTCATTCCAGCTCCGCGGGTACTTGGTGCCGCCGCCGCCGCCGCTGCTCAGCCGAGACCCCGGGGCTCTGCGGCTCATTACCTTCCTCGACACGACATGGCCAAGCGCCGCCGCCCGAAGAAGCGCGAGTCGCCGCCCGAACCGGCCGCCGCCGACACTCCGCTCCGGCCCGGGGCTGAGGAGGAAGCCGAAGAGGAGGCGGCGGAGGGCGGGGGAGGCGGACGGCCGTTCCGGGTTCCGCCTGAGCCCGCAGCGCAGGACGAGGAGGCGGGAGCGCCGCGGTGAGAGGAAGGAGGAGGAGGAGGAAGGGGAGGCGACGTCTCTTCCAGAGCCGTGCGCGGCCCGCGACGCCGGGGCCCAGGAGGACGAGGACGGCGAGGAGGCGGTGGCGGCGGCTCCTCACGCTCACATGGCCACGGCTTCCCCGCCTCCCGGCTCCGCCCGCCGCGCCGCCGCTGCCGCACGGCATGCTGGGAGCGAGGGGCGGCGCCGGCGCCCGCCGGGCTTGGGGAGAGGGGCGGGGACCTGGTGGAAGGGGGCGTGCCCAAGTCAAAGGGGCGGAGCCTTCCGAGTGGGCGTAGCCGCGAGCCAACAGGCCTGGGAGCTCTGGGATTCGTTCCACGTCCAGGGTACCGCGCCCAGGTCCGGGCTCTAGCGCGGGGCATCACGGGAGAGGGAATCTCCGTAACCGCCTCTACACACACGCTTCCCAACACTCCCTGGAAAGCACCACCTGACCCCCGGGGGCCGGACTGGCGGTGTAAGCAGGCGTCCAATCAGGAACGTGCGGTGAGGGGCGCTGGTGCCCTGGCGTGCGCGCCGCGCACGGGCGGGTCGATGGAGTTCACGTGCGCCCAGCTGCTCGCCGTCTGCCGCAGAAAGTGAAAATGGTAAGATCGAGAGGGAGTGGAGAACTGCCTTTCCAGCCCCCACTCGAAGTGTGCTCACGGAGTCCTGACACCTTGCCTATCTCTTCGCAATGTAAAAACCACAAGCACCACGTAAAATGTGCTTTGGAGTCCCCTCGTCCTAACACTTGCTCACCTTCCCCAGAAGACAATCTGCCTGGGGGAGGCAAGCCTGAACCCTGATCCCCACCCCCACAGAATTCACTAAAGCATGATACATCATGTGGATATCGATAGCTTTTTCTTAAGGTGACCAAGGGGCCGGGGACTCAAGTGATACAGTGCTTGCCTAGCATGAGCAAGGCCCTGGGTTCAATCCCCAGCACCGCAAGAAAGAAATGGTGGGCCAGATGCACATCAAACAAGTGCCTTAACCTGTATACATTAAAAAAAAAAAAAAAAAAAGCACTGAAACAGTTCTCAGCGCCCCCTCAACCCCAGCTGTCAATAGTGTGGATTATAAAGCAATGCTAAACGGTATGGTGTAATCCCAGCTGAGGCAGGAAGATTTCAATTTAAGGCCAGCCTGGGACTGAAATACGCACATTTGCTGTCTCCCCTTTCCCCATACCACCAACAAACCTGTCTCTCAATCTAACCAGAGATACCCAAAGCTTTTTTTTGAGACAGGATCTCACTAGTAACCCAGGCTGACCTTGAACTCTCAATCTTCCTCTGCCTCCTGAGTGCTGGGATTACAGACCTGCTCCACCATGCTTGGCCTCAAAGCCTTTTCTTAGTTCTAAATTCTGACCATCTTTGGATGTTTCCACAAATTCTTTACTTTTTCTGCTCCTGGTGAACTAATACTTTTTCCTCCTGAAAGTGGCTGATGTTAGTCATTTTTACCTCCTTAAATCGTTGATCAAAATAATACTGCAATGAACAAATTCGATCAGTTTTTCAGATTTCAAAGTGAAGGTTCTGGAGGTGTGGCTTAAGCAGTAGAGCACCTCCCTGCCCTGAGTTCAAAAGTCACTACCAGTACTTTCCAAAAAAAAAAGTATTCTCCAGTGATTAGCAGCATAACAACTAGAACCTTACATTCTTGGGAAATCTTCCCAAGTCCTTTTTTAACCTTTTCAAATTACAAAAGGACAACAGAGTAATTCAAAGTAACTCAAAGGTTCCAAGTTCCAATTTTGACACTCCCATCTATAAGAGAAGAGTGTTGGCAAGCTCTTGACTCTCTTAGTACAGTGGAGGTATAATTGCGCTAACTTCTTAGGGATGTTGAGAGAGCTAACAGAAAGATTTCATAGTGTATATTACACACTAAGGACTCCCTAAGTGCTAAAAATCAGATCTTCAATTTTTCTGAAGTGTTTGATTATGTGGATATTTTGACCAACGAAAGAGAAAAACAAAGATTGCTGGCAGAGGCTGTGTCCAGTTGCTCGATTTTTTATTTATCTGTTTTGGGTGGGTTTTTTTCTTTTTGTACTTTTCCCATAGAAATAACCATCAAAAAAGTGCTGACAGAGGGGTGGCATGAGAACAGACAAGGTGGGAGAGTGTCACCTAGCAAAGCAGGTGAATGATGTGCATCCAAAGTCACCAACACCCTTTTCCCCAGTAACCCCACTTCTGGGAATCTGTCCTAAGGAAACCTGCCACATACTAGAAGACATTTTCTTTTTTTCTCCTTCTTTTTATATTTATTTATTTATTGAGGTACTGGGGATTTAACTCAGCCTCATGCATGCTAGGCAAAGATTCCACCACTTGAGCCACACCCCCAGCCCTTTTTTTGTTTTGGTTTTCTTTTTTTTTCTTTTTTCCTTTTTCTTTTGTGTGGTCCTGGGGTTTGAACTGGGGGCCTTTCTCTTATTAGGCAGGAGCTCTCTACCACTTGAGGCATGCCCCCAGCCCTTTTGTTTTCACATAGAGACAGGGTCTTGCTATGTAGTCCAGGCTGGCCTGGAAGCCTCAGACCTCCCATGTTAGCCTCCAGAGTGCTGGGATTACAAACATGCACAAAGTGATTTTCTTAAAATAAAAATTGAATCATGCCACCATTCTACTTAAAGCCAATCAGTGGTTTCCTATTGTAATAAAACCTAGATTTATCATTACAAGGAAACTACAAGAGCTAAGCATGGTTGTATATTCTGTAATCCCAGAACAAAAGCAAGAGTTTCAGGTCAGCCTGGGTTGCACAGCAAGACCCTGTCTCTAAAAGAAACAATCAAAAAAAGGCCAAAACAAGGGGCCAGGGGCATGGCTCAAGTGGTAAAAAACCTACTGAGCAAGTGTGAAGCCCTGAGTTCAAAACCCAGAACACCCCCCCCAAAAAAAAAAAAAAAGGAAAAAAACCAACCTAGAAAGCCAAAAGAAAAACAACCTAAAAGAGCCTGTGAAGTCTGGCTTCTGGATGTGGGGGTTTGGCTTAGTGGTAGAGTGCCAGTCTAGCACGTGTAAGGCCCTGAGTTTGATCCCCAGCATTGCAAAAATACGTAAATAAACTTCATGATAAAAATCAGATTTTTCCTACATTGAAAATATCCCAGAGAAGGATCCTAACAGTGGTTTTCAATTTTTTCTTGGTGACAGAATCCCTATAACTAACCCTCATTCCAGACCCACTAAGTCAGAATCCCTTGGTATAGGCCCAGGCATCAGTAATTATTAGATCTCCCCGGGACATTCTAATGGAAAGCGAAAATTGAAAACCGCCATCTGAAAGCACCTGAGCACGGAAACAGTTCTCAGGACCCCCTCAACTCCAGCTGTCAATAGTGTGGATTATAAAGCAATGCTAAATGGTATGGTGGTACACACCTGTAATCCCAGCTGAGGCAGGAGGATTTCAACTTTTCTTAAAAAGTGGGGAGGGAGGCTGGAAGTGGCTCAAGCAGTAGAGCACCTGCCTAACAAGTGCAAAGCCCTCAGTTCAAACCCCAGTACTGCCAAGAAAAAAATACAATTATAAAAAATAAATAAAGGCAAGGCAAAATTGGGAGCCTAGTTCCCCCACTACTTGGCTATTTTAAACTATCTATGTCGAATATAAACACGCTCAAGACTTTGAAAGTTTTTCCTCGTTTTTCTTGGTGGTTCTGCCTCTCTGGTTCCAAGAGCATTTCTGCACTCCGTTCCTGGAATACAAGCTTGTCCCATCTCTGGGCCTTCGAACTTGCTGTTCCTTCTGCCTGGAATGTCCTTCCCACATTTGTTCCTGCCATGGTTGGGACTGGCAGTTAAGTGACTGTGAGGCATAGGGTACAAAATTTAAGGAGACATCCACTTTCAAAGCCTTGCACTTGCACAGGTCTGGGAGTGGATCAGTCCTTGAACCTAGGCTCTTAGTACTTTGGCCTCACCCTGGCCCCTGTCCTGTTTTCCAAGACTCAGGTCTTTTCAGACAGGTTTGTTCTGACCTCCACCCCAAAAAGCCGAGCAGAGCGCCTTCCAGGGACTCTCTGCCACGTTCCCTTTCTTTCCTTGGTAAGATGGTCACCATCCGCAGGCCCTTCTCCATACATTTACCTTCTGCTTGCTCCTCGGCATCCTAGCTTTGTGAGAGCCAAGGTCACACCTGTCTCCAGCACACAGCACAGCATCTGAGCCACAGTGACTGGAGAAGTTAGAGGGAAGAAGTGGAAATGACCTAAAATATGCAGCATAATGGATACTAAAGTATGTATCTGTTTGAGTTCTTCTTGTTTTTCCTTTTTTTTTTTAAAGTGATGCTAGGAATTGAACTAGACCTTGGGCAGGCTAAGAGTGAGGTTTACCCCTAAGCTCTGACTTCCTTCCTTCCTTTCTTTCTGGTGGTGGTACCAGGGATTGAACTCAGAGCCTCAAGCTTGCTGGACAGTCACTCTACCACTTGAACCATATCTCCAGTCCTCAGCCTTCATTTTTTTGGTGGGACTGGAGTTTGAACTCAGGGCTTCACACTTGCAAAGCAGGTACTCTACTGCTTGAGCCACACCACCAGCCCATTTTGCTCTGTTTATTTTGGAGATGGGGGGTCTCTCAAACTGTTTGCCCTAGCTAGCCTCAAATTGTGATCCTCCTGATCTCAGCCTCCCAAGTAGCTAGGATTACAGCCACCAGTGCCTGGCTCAGCTTGACTTAATAGCAAAAAAGAAAAAAAAAAAGGAAATTATCCCACTGCCCAAGAATAGAATTAATTTTTTTCTGGAACCATTAAAAATTATGTTTGTAAATGGGGTGTGGTGGTGCTGGCCTATAGTCCTAGATATTCAGGAGGCTGAGGTGGGAGGATCAGTTAATCCAGGAGTTGGAGATCAGCCCAACCAACATAGCAAGACCCTGTCTCACAAAACATATGTACTCATATGTATTTTTAATTTTTATTTATGAAGCATTGTTAATGAAATGAGAAAAAAGAAAAACAAAAAGTATGAACCTCTTCAAAACAGCTACATAGGCATGCCAGTACACAAGTATAATCCCAGCTGAGGCAGGAGGATCTGTGTTTAATGCCAGTTCAGTTATGGAGACTGTATCTCACAGTACAAACTGGATGTGATGGTTTACATCTGTAATCTCAGCTACTCAG